CTTTGCCTAGTTTTCAAAATCAGGCCTGAAATGTCATGCGAGTCCTGAATATAAACCTTTCCTTGAATATAAAATATAACAGTAAAATGAGATCAATTTGAATGGAAAATATTTAAAATGGAAATATGGTATTAGATATTAGATATCTATCAAGAGACCAGATCTAATTAATAACTAACTATCCATTCTACTTAAGAGGAATGGCTTAGAAAATAATTTAAAGAACTATTAACTTCAATTAACTTCTTTTGTTTTTTTTGTTTTTGTGTTTGTTTTTTAGGCAATTGGAGTTAAGTGACTTGCCCAGGGTCACACAGGTAGTAATTGTCAAGTGTTTGGTCTGAGGCTGGATTTGAACTCAGGTCCTCCTGACTTTAGGGCCGGTGCTCTAACCACTGCACCACCTAGCTACCCCATTCAATTAACTTCTTCAGTAAGGTTTTGTGAAGAAATCATTCTATATTTGTATCTTAAAATGGTTGCATTTTAGCAATCGAGAAAAACCAGTACATTAAGTACTGGTTCAGTGAGAGATTATATTTCATCTGGAGATCAACTTATTCAAGTTTGGAGAGGTTCCTCACCTGGCTCAAAGTGATAGATATTTTTGCCCACAGAAATTCATCAAGACTGTTGACTAAATTGTAGAAGGATGGTAACTGACATCAGAGTAGGACAATATCTTCACTGATAGAAAATCATAAGTTTGTGAAGTACTGAAAATGTAATTTAAAAAGTTAAGTTCTCATATAGTCTTAAGATTTTAATAACATCAAACTCATTTAAGTCACAAAGTAATTTACTGTAAAGCTACAGTGGACATATCAGTTGATAACAACCAATAGTATGTCGATGCATCAGAAGAAACCTGAGGAAGTGACTTCAAACAGAAGGGGGAAAAAAAGGAAGAACAGGTTAAGTTTTAGAAACTAGTAGTGAGAAAACTATTGGAGGGAGAGAAGGGAGAGAGGGAGAGAGAAAGAGAGAGAGAGAGAGGGAGACGGAGAGAGAGAGGGGGAGAGAGAGAGGGAGGGGGAGAGAGGGGGGGAGAGGGAGAGAGGGGGAGAGAGGGAGAGAGAGGGAAAGAGAGAGGGAGAGCGCCACATCATGATGTGACTATTTCTTTTAAAAACATTAGCCAGAAGTTAAGATGGAAGACAGAAAACAGGCTAAGATGATGATTTAAAGTCTTGTCTTTTTATTAAGTTGGAAATAATCATATTTCTCCTGTTAGAGAGATTAAAAGTTTAAAAAGTTGGGGAAAAGGGCTATCTACAAGAGCTCTTGATACCAAGCAGAAGCCTGATGTACAGATGCTACCAATATTCTGAAGAGATTTGCCTCTTAAGGGTGATTCAGGGATTCTATTCTTCTTAAATTAAAGGGAAGGTTAGAGTTATATTAAAAACTTTGAATTCCATGAGAAGACAAGAGTATTATCTTCCAATAATCAAGGGGATGCCAAGTAGAAATGGGATTAGCCTTGTTCTATTTGGCATTGGAGGGAAGAAATGGGAAAAATACAGGAAAGGAGTAAAAGAAAAGATTTTAGCCTGATGTAAGGAAAAACTTCCTTAGCAATCAGAGCTCAAACGATGAGTAAGATGCCTCTGAATAGAAAAGGTTCCATTCATTACAAAGCTTCCGGAAGAGGCTACATGAGTTCCTGTGGATAATGTTCTAGAGGTGATTCTCATTCAGGTAAAGACTGGATTAGATAACATCTGAAGTCCTTTCCAAGCCTGAAATTCTGAGAAAACCTAACTAGGGGGACAAGCCATATACATGAATGGTAATACAATGTGGTATACAAGTGACAAACTAGTACTACAGATAGTAAGTACACTAGGAGTTCTAGAGAGAAGCAAGGATGGGCTCAGGAAGGTGGGATTTAAATGAGGGCTTAAAGAATTTACAGAGGCAGAGAGGAATGGGAAAACAACATGTGTTAAAGTGACCAAATCCTTGGGAAACTTATCTGTTCTGATCATGAGATCACAGCTTAGAAACCACACTGAACACCACTCTAACCCTCATTACCTGTCATTTGGCTTGCTGTAATAGCCTGCTTCCAGTCTTTCCCCTCCCTAATCCAATCTCCATACAACTACCAAAATGTTCTTAAGGCATGGGATCTGCTGTCACAGTCTTGTTCAAAAGTCTTTAGTGGTCCCCCTATGGATTCTAAGACTCAAATTCCGTCTTTGTGCAATGTGGCTCTCATCTACCTTTTCAAAATTATTTATACTATTCCTCTTGATGAACTCTATGTTTTAAACAAAATGGATTGTTACCTGTTCCTTGAACATTTTGATCCCTATATTCATGTTTTCTAGAAACACACCCACATGCCTCTCTAATCCACTCTTTCCAAATCTCTCTTAGAATGTGTCTTTCTTCAAAGCTCAGCTGAGATTCCACATTCTTTGAGAAGCCTTCATTCCCTGACTCTTCAGTTTATTAATTCTTTAACTTTTGCAACCTACTGTGTTGATATACATGTTCTATCCCTCATACTACAAGGTAAAAGCTGAAAAGCAGGAGATGTCTTTTGTCTTTGTGTCTTCAACATTAACTGTAGGGCCTTCCAACATAGCATGCATTTCATGTTGGTGGAGTAGAATCAAATTGTTTTTATATTAAAATATTTTAGCAGGTATCTAATTCAATAAGTTAAATGTTATTTAAACTAGATGATGAAAACCTTTAATTCCTATATACTTTAAAACTCATTGATTGAGTATTTAAGTGGTAGCAAAAATGTCATTTAAACAGAAATTTTGTCATTTAATATGTGGCTTTTGTGGTAGCCTAGAGGTAGTCATGTGTTCTAAATTAATATACTATATTAATATTAATAAATCAATATGCTAATACTATATACTATATGCGTGACCTTGGGCAGGTCACATAATCTTTCTGGGTCTCAGTTTCGTAATAAGATACATGAGGAGGTTGGCCTATACGACCTCTGAAGTCCCTTCTAGCTCTGAATCTGTGACCCTCTTTTTCTTTTTTTAAGCAACTTATTCTTCTGGCATTCAAACAGGCTAATATTTCCACATGAAAAGATGAATTGTTCTTAAATCTCAAGATCTACAGGATTCCAAGGTTAAGCAAGCAGACAAAGAAGGGGGTAGGGAAATACTTCCTACTCATGGATCCTCATGCTCTCCACCTTTGTTCCTCCACCACCCACAGAAGTAATGCTCTTTTGCAGTTCATTTTTCCACCTGCACACTCATTTACAAATTTTGCAATCAAAATACTAAAATAAGACACAAAAATAGCAGATGCATCCTGGCATGAATAAATTAGGTGAGTTAGAATAGCAGGAATGTGGGTGTTTCAGTTCAAGAATTAAGGAGATAACCAAATGAATAAAAGTGAAATTCAAGATTTCCGAAATTGTTCTTTCTTTGCTGAATTCTAGAGTTGAAATTGATTACCTAGTACTTATTTCCTCAAATGTTCTAATCTCTATGTACTATATATGAGACAGCAGATAATCATATGGCTTAAAAACTCAAAATCATTAGGTATAATAAGCATTTATCAATTGCCTATTCTGTACCAGGCACTGGGAATATAAAGATAAAAAAGAAATAGTGCCTGTCCTCATCAGAAGAAATAATATGCTTAAATGTAAGTATATGCAAAATACACAGAAAACAAATAAAAGTTTTTGGGAATGGGGGAGTGGAGAGGGGAGCTGTAGCAGCTGAGGGCACCAACAGCAACTGGTGGGATCAGAAAAGGCCTCATGGACACACACACTGATCTTTGAAGGAAACTTGGGATTTTAAAAGGAAGAGATGAAGGAGTGCATTCTAGGTATGTGGTACAGACTGTACAAAGACATGGAGAAGGGAGATAAAAATGTTTCAATGAACAGCAAGGAAGAATGCATTGATTTGTTTCTGCATTTCAAGTACTCTTAAAAAAATTACATTCTCACTCAATCATGAAGGAAACTTAAGAGTCCAAATCTGGACATGGTGAGAAGAGCACTGTGACCACAACAATGTAAAGGAACACAAAACTAAAGGATTTTAGAACACTATTAACAAAATATCTAATTTTGACTTTAGGGGAGTATCTCCTTTTTTGGTAGAGAAGTGGTAGACTCAGGTGAGCAGATGGTGTTAGTCATAACACTGCCTTATAACCTAATAAATGTATGGTAATTAAAAAAACCCTTTAAGAAAAAGTAGGCTAATAACCTAAAATATGCTAAATATTTTGTTTCCTTTTCCATAATCTCCACAGCATCAGACTTTAAACTAGAAAGATTCAGCATCTCGACCCTAGCACGACTGCGGATTTCTCAGCAGGAGGGCTCAGTACTTGCCCTTCAAAATCAAGCTAACTCTGCTGGAATTTAGTTTCCAATGACTTGTCAATTTTAGTTTAAAACTTGAATCCTTGAATGTCCACAAAGGGCAGTACATTTGCTGTAATACCTAGATGAATTTTACATACACTGAATCCCAGTTCATTTTACTTCAATATTATATCCTCAATGTAAAGTAGAATATATCATACCTTACAGTATTATGTTTTTCAATCATCACCTGAAATATGTTCCCAATACTTCAGATATTTTCCTAATACAAAAACATATTCTCACATATACATTTTTTAAGCAAAAGAGAAGCAAAGAAGATTTCATAAAACAAATGATACATTTCAGCTGACTGAAACATTTATAAGGCCAAATAATAACTGTTAGAATAGTTTCAGCAAGATTTGCTTATTTCACTTTTCAAAAGAGCATTGTTACTTTATTGGCTTAAAAATCCTATAAATGACCATGTATCAAGAAAGAAGTTTATGGAAAAAACTTAGATGTCAATGTATTAGTTGTTGCTTCACTATCCTTATCTTTAAAAGTAATGTCATTTTAGAGAAAAAACTTCAAATTTGAAGTTACTTTACTAGTAGATAGCAGAAAAGGCAATTTTATTTCAAAAATTTAAATAATTATTAGAAACAATTACCTTATTGTAATTCTTAGCTAATTCCAACATCTCCTTTACTACAGATTCATTGAGTTTACAATGTTCACTGTAGTCTTGAAGTGTCAAACCTTCCATCCAACTCTTCTTATGCAAATTTAGCAACATCTGAAAAACAGTCATTACAATTACCTGCATCAACAATTTCATTTCCTTATCATGAATGAAATCAAAATTAAAGAGAACAAGCTTAATGCATGTATAAATATGCCTATTTCTAAGATTAAGTTTATTGAATGTTCTCAACTATAAGAGTTAGACTAGATGGCCCCTAAGATCTCTTCCAGCTTTAGAGCTACAATCTCAGAAGTTTATAGACTCATTTCAAAATATGCCTTATTTAAGGAACGAGCCTAGAATATATTACACAATCTAATTTCCAAATGCAAAGAAAAAGAGTCATTACCACAAATGGTATAGCAGAAAAAGCTCTGAACCCATTTTCAGCTATTTTTCAAAGACTCCTAAAATTCATAACTTTTAGAGACTATTTGGCATAAAATTTTCACCCTTCTAACACAAATATAAAAATTGAGACTGGGTCTGTGGTTTCAATGATGTAGGGAACTCCCAGAAATGCAGGCCAGTGTGTTTTCTCTGCAAACTTAAGAGGGCTGTTTAGAATCTCTTGTTAATGTTCATGAAACCCAATTTGGTACTATTAGTAGCTACATATGCAGTGAAGCTCTCCTTGAATGAAATGGCTGTAGGACACTGGTTCTGCCCTTCTTCTCTAGTCCTTCAAAGATATTGTCCAGACAGTCCATGGTAGACTGATTAAACCCTGACAGCTTCCCCAGGGCAAGAGGTGAGAGGTGGATTCTCTACCACTTATGGAGCTTTAAAAAATCTCTGTCACAGGAAAAGAATATTATTATTATGTCTCAGAGTTAGAGGATTAAGTCTGGGGTTTAGTATATATGGTTGGGCAAGACTGGAAACATGGCTTGTGCTGCTGAATGGAGTAGTTAAGATAATAAACAACATTAATTTAAAAAAAAACAAGCCATTTTTTTAAATCCAAAGATTATGGTATAAGATATCCCCCAAGTTGGATGGAATTTGAAAGTCACTTATTTGCATATTTCCAAAAGGGTGAATGTTAACTAACACGCAGAAAAAACATTTGTACTTTTGGATGAATTTTCCATCTTTTATTTGAATGTTCAGCTATCCCACATTTCTTATGTACAAAACTGTGTATAGACTACTTGAAAAAAGTGCCCTCAAAAGATATATTTATCTCTACACTATCACCCTCTTAAAAAATGGGAAAAAAAGTAGAAAAAGAAATTGAATTTCTATGGCCCTCCTTCACGTAAGTCTGGGAGATAGGGTTGTCTCTCTTCCTAGGCACTTTTGGAGGTGACAAATGCATACCTAAAGCTCACTTACCAAAAAACAAAACAAAACAAAAATACAGATGGACATGCAGATGAATATTTATATAGCTTTCATTGATGCACTGTTTATTAGCCTACAAAGCAATAATACTGGACATAGATTCTAGAATTCAAATAGTAATATTAAACAAGAGACAGAATTTCACATTTAATTGAGGTGAGGTAGGAAAAAAAGCTATATTCTAAATATTTGAAAATAAACAGCAAAATCCTAATCTATCCCAAGATGTTAAGAAATTTTCAAGAAAACAAATCTAGAAATTTGGAGAATGGTAACTCTGAATATGAGGGCCATTACCATAATTACTTTCTTTTTTTCTCCCTCTTCCTCCCTTTCCCCACCCTAGGTCCTTTATCTTGCACAGATGTGTCCATGCGCACTTGTGGACCTGAACCCACTACTGGATCAGCGTAGGAGCTCTGACCTGCTTGCTGACTTGGGTAAGGCTACTCCCTACCCTCACCATTCACCAAACTGATGCCACACTTAGTATGGACACCTGACTGGCTTAACCCACTGCAGCTCAGGACACTTAGGCTTAAGTAATCTGCCAGCCTCAGCCTCCTCAGGAATAGAGATTACAAGTATGTGGCATAATGCCTGACTTAATAATTTTTCAGCCTTCTTCAAATTTATTTTTTATTCTTTACGCAGGGTTACAATGGCACACTTGCAACAAGTTTTAAAAAAAATCACAATCCATTCAATGTATTTTCTCCAAACTTGGAGGAAATTAAATCCATATTAGTTAACTATTTAGCTACAAATTACAGAAGAGAAGCTAGAAAAATTATACAACTTTATAGGGTAACAAAAATTTAATCAGCAAATCACAAAGCTGAGAAAAGGAAAGGTTTTTATAATCTGTCAAAATAAACATTACATTGGAATTATTTTTATTAGCCACTTCTCTCTGCTTTAGCATCTAGTGATTAGTCTTAATTAAACCTGCCTTATGAAGGAGAACATGTAACCTATTCCAAAGGAGCCTTTCCTTTACTGTGTTCTACAATGCAACAGGAATATGACACAGAAGAAAATACAGAGACAATGATAAATGAAGAAAGATGACAAATTAAAATTCAAATCACAGTGTTGCAACATGCCGTAAGAGTTGAAATAGGTTTTTTTTCCCCTCTCTCTAAAACAAAAATTAAAACTTACCTTCTGTTCTAGCTCATTCTTTCTATAGTTGATAGTAATGGAGTAATAATGTCTGTTCAGTCCATGAATTAAAGCCTGCAAAAATCAAATGATTAGAAAAGTGGGCAATTTAAACTTTTTAACTTATGATTTATTAACATCTACTGTAGGTTCTATAATACTATGTACGTGTCAACTATTACATTTACGATCCATTGTAAAGGTGTGTTTTTCTGAATTATGACTCAGGATTAAGAGAATTAGTTCTAGCAACAAACTTATAAAATTAAGAGAGGTTCACTCTATAAGTTGCTATGTGCTTAAAAAGCATATTACAGAATAGCTCAGACTCACCTGAGCTGCTGGCTGACTGGCTCAAGGATAATCACGTAAACAAAAATTGCTAGATCTGCTGTTGTATAATTCAGCTAGTTCTCTGACTTGGCTACTATCAAAAGCCAAAACCAAAAAGCCCAACATCTAATTCCTTCATTATATTTTCATGCCTTTCCACTGCCCGGTATGCACTCCCTCCTTACCACCAACTCTTGGTATCCCAAATTTCTTTCAAGATTCATCTTAAGCCCCATGTCCTACAAGAAGCCTTTCCCTAAAACTATCTTGAATCTATTTTGTGTAAACCTATATACAAGGTATCCTTATGCCCTGTACATAAATGTTGCCTCACCTACCTAGACAGTAAGGTTCCTGATAGCAGGGAATGTCTGTGTATCCCCAGTCCCTAACACACTGATTAGCACATAGTAGTCACTTGCTGATTGATGGACTATATTTCTACCCACATCCCTGATTGGGGTTTTTATCCTTAAGCTCTGGTGGATTTAAATAGTCCTATATACCCACAGCTTACAAATAGAAACTTGAAGATGATGTTGCATACTAGTTTTTCAGTTACAAATTTCATCACCACTGGTTTTTAACCTCCCAAGTAAATAGCTATAGTGGATAATGAAACCCATTTAAAATGTGTTGAATTGAATATAAGATGATGTGTAGTTTGATACTCAACTTGTGTCTCAAAGGATTTCTGCTACTAAATTGTTTTTAAATTTAAAGGAACTGTCTCCTTATGTATGAGTGTGTAGAGATTAAATAATAAAAGTTCCTGATCAGTGATAGGAATATATTGAGTAAATTTCATGCCAAGAAAAGCCACTCCCACACAGACCCAAGAATTGACATTAATTTCAAGTATTAGCTGTAGCCAGTATAAAGAACCACTAGACATTTGGTCCCTAGAAAAGGATTACATTGCCAAAACATATATATTTTGGCCAAAAGGCAGTGGCAAAACTACCACAAGCAGTAAGGCAAAATATTATCAAACCATGTGCCAAGGAATCATTTCTGTCATCTAATTTGTTCTGAAGTAAATGTACCTCAATTTAAACTAAACGAGGTTGAAGGTGGGATGGAGAGAAAGGGAACACAGTATAAAACTGGACAGTGCAGAGTGTAGAAGAACATAAACTCCCTGAGGGAAGACTAAGTTTGTATTTTTGTCTTTGTCTTCTCAGGGCCTAGAACATGATATACACTTGTTGGATTGAATTAATTTTCAAATAAGGAAAAATGCTGAATATATCAAAGTTAAGAGAAAAAAAAAGCCACAGAGGAGTAGAAAAATATCAACATAGGCTTCCTAAAGAATAAATTCAAATTTAATCTACTTCACATGTGATGAAACCACAAACACTTGCTGCCACTTGGTGGGGACGTACTCTAAATGCAGACAGTTTTTTCTGGAGTTTGAATCTGCAAACCTAATTATGTAATAGTAAAACAGCAAAGATCATAGTAAAAAAAAGTTATAAATATGATATTTTTCTTGACAATCAAATATGGCTGATGTTTTGTGTTCTGCTTCACAAACTTTTTTAAGCGTCTATGAAAATACAGGTTGTCAGTCCCTAGACTATAGGCTGAATTCCAAATTCAACTGTTAAGCTAGCTGTTTAGAATTCAGAAAATGTTTTGTCATTGAAATTATCAAGAGTGGTTATAGTCATAGGCCACATAAGTCCATTTAACCTACAACATATCCAAATTATGGAATAAATAATATTCTAATTACCCTCGATGGAGTCTTTTGAAAAATTTATTCTCAGTTCCAATTCAGTAATTACTTGTTTTACTGACATCTTGAATTCTTTGTTTACCTTTCTTTTCTATGCAGGGTACAGGCCTTTGCAAGACAGCACTGGTCTGAGATGTTATTTGGGGAATTTGGGGGTGAAAAAATTGGCAAATTCCCAACAATTCCTCTATCAGTTCTTCATAGCATGGGTTTACTATTTTGTTTCAAGTGAGTTCAAGAACATATGGAACTCATACTAAAAAGTAAAAGACATTCTAAAAAAGGGAGAAATAAGTGATATTTTAGTTATTGTTATTTTGATTTCTCTATCTCTGGACCAAAAATTCAACTCAGGTGACATGAAAAATGGTCAAGTAAGTAAAATGCTCTGAACAGAGTAGGTACGTAATGCTAATGAATAACAGTGATTAAGGCAGATGGGTACTGTCAGGGATAGAGTTGACAAGGAAGAATGGTGAGTGCTTCAGAGGTAAGTAATAAAGATCACATGGTAGCAGTATAGACTGTAGCCATGTGGTCTTTAGTATCACCAGATGGGATGACATTGTGCACCACTTCCGTTCATGTGTCCAACTTTGTAAAGCAAAGTACAGTGGACTCATATCCAAATGGCTTAGGATTGGAACTTATTTTGGATGATGGAAAATTTCAGATAAATGAGGAGACCCAAGCATATGGAAAATCAAATCCACTGGGGCTGCCAGAATGAAGAATTCAATAAATATTATTCTGCTTCTCTATATAGCCTTTGCTAAGGGAAAGCAAGAAATAGACCCTAATTTGAATTGCCAATTGTAATCTGAACTTTTTGAAGGCAAAAAAAAAAAAAGGCATTATGTAAAAGGCTTGATTGAGTTAAATTAAAATAACCTCAAATGTAAATTTCCCTGCCCCTCATTACTCTAGGCTTTTAAAAAAAACTAAAAATATTTTGCTAACAGTACATATTTAAGCTGCTTTTTGGTGATGTTTCATTATTGTGGGTAGTGGGGAGGTTTTTCAGGAAACAACGTTGTAAAACTTAACAATACAGAGCTATTCTTAGGATCAGAAAATATTTTAAAAACACTCTACATCTCCATGAGGTAGAGAACCCAACCTCATTTACTCTAAGAGTATTCTTTAAAAATGAAATTTCTCATAGTAGTTTTTATGATGAAAAACCTAAAAAAAGGTTTTGATATCGATTATATTTCAGGAAGATCCTATGAATTTCAATATTTCATAGGCATGCTACAGGTCAGATCATGTCTTCTGTGTATATGATGATATATCAGGATGACAGAAAAACTTTAATACAGTATCATTTTTATTCCCTGACAATGTCATTATATAGGGCTTCTATGGACACAAAACCAATTTGGGTCTAAGTGAGACAAAGGCACACAGATTCTTTTGAAACATGTTATCTTTAGTTTGAAATGATTATGGTTGTTTAATCATTTCAATATATTTGTTATAAACAAGTTTTAAAGGTATCATTAATTGCTGTAGCAGGGGCTGGTGTCCCACAGGAGGTATTCCCATTTTGAGTGAAAAGTTACTATAACTTGTCATACCAGAACAGAAAGGGTTATCAATGTGCCAACCTACTTTTAAAAAGCTGCTGACCCTTATATTACATATTCTGATGAATGCTTTAAAACTCCATCAGGGAATATTACTGCTTACTTTGGATTCTTTCTTGGTTCCTTTCTTTATAGGTGAGTCTAAAATAAGTAAGGAAAGGTTTTAAGGTACAGGGTTTGTTCTATTACTTTTTTGGCTTTGTCTCATTTAAGTATTTTAATATTTTGAAAGTGTCTTAAAACTGTAAAACACCCAGATAGATGTTATTCTGATGGGCACTACATAAACTGTGAAATAAATATATTTACAGATTTTAATTTGAAGAAAACCAATCTGCAAAATCAAAGAAACAGCAATAATAATGTACGTAAACTACACACAACTCCCTGTAAGTTTAGTCTGGTTAATACTTCATAAGGAAATCTGAGAATTTCACCAAATATCTTAAAAGTTAGCACCAAAAAACCAAATGTTTGTAACCTGGGTTATAAGAAAAAATAGTCCATTAATAACATTTAGACTTAAAATTCATTTCATGTTAAAAAAGTGACAATTTAATTTAAAAGATGAACTATGCAACAGGTGGCTGTTGACATGCAATTAGTAAACTTCTGGCAGAATTATACGATGCTGTAATCACAACGATCTTAAATTGTGAGATGTTACTTAACCTTTTGCAAAAAATAATGAAGCAGTATGATGCTATGGGGGTTTACATGGAAGGTCATTATTACAGGCTAAAAAGGTCCTGTAATATATTCTCTTGAAACATGCATGTATGGGCTTGTCTGTACCCAATCAAAAACACTAGTAGGCTATTTCATACTCATTATACTTTGCAGTTTTCACTTATAAAAATCAAAAGCAACACAATTTGGCTCTTTAATTCAGCATATGTTTCACTTTTATCACGACTTTTTTGTTAAGTGACTGGTATAGAATTAGGTAAATAAAAATGTAAAATAATAAAAGTTTGATAAAGACTTAACTATGTTTAACAATCAAAGCCACAAATCCCCAGACAGTTATCTGATAGTACTAGGGAGAGGAGGGAGAGTTGTAATGGCTACTATATTGTCTTTGTTCTGTATGCTCTATTTAACTACATACACTACTATTTCTCTGCTTTTAATTAATCTTCAGAGAAGCAATTAGCGCTATGGTCACAAATATTCATGCATTTAAAGGCACATTTAAAATAATTTTTGTAGGCAATAAAGGTCTGTGTAAAAACAATGAAGCATGAGAATGATTCAAAGAAAACATTAATCACTCAAGAGGATACTTAGTGTCTGAACATGAACATTTCATCACTTACAGCAATGAAAAATGTCACACTTGATAACCCAACTACAGGCTCCAACTTTTAAAAACATTTTTATGTATTTACTTTTTGGAGTTGTTGGGTTTTTTTGTTGGTGTTGCTGTTGTTTTAAAGTCAAGTAAAGTTAAAAGGGAAAAAAATTCCAGGAATATTAATAATATCTGAGACTTCCTTTCACTGTTATCTCATTTTTTACTTACTGGCGCTTCTTTGACTGATGCTGCAGGGGTCCCTTGATTTTCGGCAATAGATGGCAACAGCTTAAAAATGAAGTGCAATCCACCCAAAACTATGTCTAACAACATCACGAACATGTAAAGTCAGAAAATATTCACCAGGGTTAAGATGCTTTAAGCATGTTCCTAAAAGGGATGCTTTACTATTCAAAAGGATCTTTGTTTAATTATTCAAATCCCCATTTAACAACTACCTTCCAAAGAACTCTAAAGATTAATTGCATGCCAATTAGAATGACATATTAGGTTTTAAAATTACTAACCTGATACGGTCTGGTACTATAAATCAGTGTTTAGCACATTATCAAATAGAGGCATTACCTGGATAGATGGCTTGTTTAAGTGACCCAGATTTGAAGTTGTTTGTCTGGGTTCATGTCCCAAGACCATCATATTAGCATTGATCAATCTGAAGGCATCAATAACAACCTGTAAAAACAAGGTGTCAGGTCAATTCTTTTTAGAGACTGCAAGTGATGATTCCAAGCAACAGTGGACAAGGCATGATCAACTTGCATCTGTTTTTGGCTTATTTCCAGAAAATCATTTAATTATAATATTAATAAAAAAGAACCTCCTGCTGACTGTGCCATCAGCACACCACCCTCTATCTTGTAATGTAAGGTGACACCAATTATTACAATTTTCATGAGCTTCATGTGAGGAAAAATATTAATTTTGCATCCTTGTTAGGGCAATACGTCATTGCTAAGCTTCTATTCATAGAGCCTCCATTGGTGTGCATATGTTTTGTCACCTAAATTTTACCTCATCCAAATGAATGACAAAGAGAGACCTAAAACTGAAAGTGAGCACAAGGTAAGGGACCACAGCTAAGGCCCAGGCCTGTCACATCAATTATACCACCACAATACTTGAAATGACAACAAAATTATAGCCAGCAAGGAACTTGCCTCCTGTATTCTCTGCTAGTCAGATGCCTTTTACTCCTTGTGACTATAGAAGAGTTTGAATATCAACTGATGGGTTGTTAAAAGTCTATGCCAGTGTCATGAGAGTAAGTAAGAAACAATGTAAGAAGACCAAGGTCATTTGTGATTTAAGGGGCACAGTATATAAATGATAACCATATTCCAGGATCACTGCAAAACAGAAACAAAAACAAAAACCCAGGGCCAACTTCTTTCTGCTAAATTTAGTCAATGTATTTTTGGATAAAAGGCTTTGAATTCTTACACAACACAATTTCACCTCTTTCAGAGCTCTTTGTTGATGTAAGACTTAACAACGTATCATCTTATTATCTTGTACTTAACACTAACTTCTGTTTATTATCACTAAAGCACTACATAAAGCTTTAAATGGTATAAAGTTATGATCCTCTGGTATCTTGAAAAGAAAAATGCTTTTGTATAGAAAACATTTTTTTTCATTTAAAACAGATTTTCCTTTAAAATGTAAGCTATTGTCATAATCTAAGGTAAAACAAGGAATAAAAATGAGAATAAAGTTATCTTAACTTGAAAATAAAATTAATTGAAAAGGGGAGTCTAAATAAGGATTATGCAAGTATATTAGATATTAGAGAAGATAGTTTGAAGGAAAGAAAAAAAAACCACACCTTCTAAAAGACTGCCATGAAAGAAATATGTATTCAAGAGAGACAGCTGTTAACAGACTAAAATGTCATGAGAAATAGAGCATTTCAAGGCTTTTATACTACCTTGGCCAGTTAGTAAATTCATTTCTAACTTAATTTTAAATTTTAGCACTTAAGAATTTTGTTATGTTACCCTTAATTTCTGCATTGAAATTGGTTATCTATGTACCACAGAAAGTTCAATAATTTAACATTATTTCATGAAGAAAACTTCATACAGTTTTTAAACTCCTCTTTATTTCCTTCCATATATTATATGGCCTGGCTGAATACGCTTGTGCCTTTTGAATCCATTTATTAATTTTATCATTAAAGCCAATTTTTTCATTCACAAAGTGAAAAAAAACACCAACACCATCTCCTGAAAGTCTATTTATTCCTGGTGGTACATTTTTATCAGATGGTCTAACTTTTAAATGCATGCTCACAATGAATTATTTGGTTAAAAAAGCAAGAGAGGTAAAAAGGAAACGATCTGTAATCTTATATTTGTTTTTTTGGGGGGAGGGGGGAAATAAAACATTTATCACAAGAAAATAAGAAATGATTCTTAATTTTACTTAAATTTACTAGCCACTTTATCAAACTTTAAAATAATGATTACTTATATAGAGATGAAATTTTAAATGACTAATCTTAACTACCAATGGTAATATAACAAAACATCATTATCTTGGTTTAATTATATCTCCTAATGTAACTATTAATTTTTATTACTGGTATTGAGAGTTGGTCAAGATTTAGCATTTTGGACTTTGCAGCACTACCCTAAACTGATAAAATTCCATGAAATATAATACTATAATGCCTATATACTTATTTTTACCCCAAACATTTTGTAACCAATGGTAATGCAGCAGGCAGCTATTTTACATGTGAAATATCTGTAATATTTCATAACTATTCTAAGCAGGTGTGAAACTTCATGAGAAGGAAAAGATCAGTTGAGTAGTTGTTATGCCTTGTTAAACTAAATCTAAAATCTAAAATTTTCAACTTCTATTCAGAAATCCAGAGGAAAAACATTTAAGCATCTAAATATATCATTCAACTCGTTTATGATGGACTATGCAAAATGAAATGAGTAGAGTGACAATTTCTTAGTAGCAGTATAACCAATAGAAAATGAATACTTTAACTACACCAAGATTAAAGGAATTCACTGCTATCACTATAGCAACTGTCTTAAGGAAGCTAACATGCTCAACAACCTGCAGACCAAAATTAGACTTAGTACGCAATAAAAGCATAAATACGGCAAAATAACCTACATTTTAATTTCTGTACAATCTTATAATTGCTTTCTGCACTGCAAGAACAAATCGGTTCCTCCTTTAGAGCATATCAAAATAAATAGACTCATTAATGTCCGGTGCACTAATGAGCAATGGGTGAAGTAGGTGTTAATTATGCCACAGTAAGATTCAAGAAAAAGCCCTGGTGAGCACTTGGAGGTGTGTACAAGCTGAAGGCTTTTCTCTATGTTTGTGTATTTACAGCATGATGCAATAGAATGACAGCAAAGTGGTCACTGCATAGTTAAGAATGGAAATCTCAGACACAGCAACATGAACAGAGAACCCCCAAGGATTAATTAAAGTACAGGGGGAAAGTCCACTTTTTCTTCAACTCTTTGAATTTTTTCAACAATTCGACAGTTCAAATTTTTTCGCTTCTCATGATGGACACACATGTCCATTAATTTAAATCAGCCTACACCTTATTAATGCAAACATTTACCCAAAACAGACTATACAAAATTACCTCTCATTATGTAAAAACAAAAACCTCCAAGCACAAGAAAGATGAATGTTTTCAGGAATATGGTGACAGACCTTTAAAAACGCTTTTCCACGCTGAAATCAATATACCACACTGAATCTCTATTCACCATCCTGACCATTTAATATTTTCTGGTACAAGTGCCTTGAGACTTTTCAGAGGTCACTGCAACAGTAGACAGCTTATAACAAAACCATTAGCAGTTTGGCTAGCTTAGGGAAACCTCTTACTTTCCTTTTTTGTTTATTATCACTGCATGAATCTGCAGCATATGATAGTTTATAATTTCTCAGGCTTGTTAAATTCATGTTAAAGGTCTGTTTTCTTGTTGAATAAATTTTGTTCATATAATGCTGCCTATTTCATACACTCAGTCTTTAATAGCACCTTTGGTCTATGCGCAACTCACAGATCAAAACAGAGGACTAAAATAGGGGTTGATGATGCTATTTACATGTGTGATTCCTGCTGTCTTCTTGTTAGTAGCTTTAATATAATAGAAGACCTTGTCTGTTTTGTAATTAACACATCTTTACTGGAGAGATATTTGGAAGTGATTGCTGTGAATATACTGGTTAGTAAAATAAACACAATCACACACCACTTTCTGTTATCAGACAAATTTGTGAATTGTACACATTATACTCCAGATCAACAAACTGTGATATAACAGCCAAGTAGAAGACACATATTTATATAACCCTTTATTTTTCTGAAAATATGTATTCACTCTGACCTTGCAAATATAATTAGCTTGTGGGATGTGCGGATTTCAGTACCATGGTTGCTTTACTAATTGCAACTCTTGGAAATAGATACTAAATATTTGGAAGCTGCCAATACAAAATAAAAACTGCATCATTTTGTACATCTGTCTTAGCTTGTAAAAGCTTAATATTTTGAAAATCAATAACTATGTTCCTTATTTACTCTAAGCATGACCAAGGGTCAAAGACCCAGAATTTGATTTTAGTAATGAGTATGGTTTGAAGAGCCAAAACTGCAATCATTTCCAAATTAAGTTTAAATCCATGATTTTTTGGCTTCACTAATGAATATGCTACAATTCATCCAATATGCTATTCATTTTTAAACTCATGTTCTTTTCATCAGTTGTAGGTTACTCAACAAGACACATTTTCAAAAATCCTAACCTATTTTAACAATATATACTTTAATGTATTCTATAAAGAGCAATCTATATTTAATGCAAATTCGCCTTAAAAAAAGAGTTAAGAATAAGGCATTTTAAAGAAAACTACATGGGTCTTTAAGCAATTTCCTTGTCCAAACTAGCAGTTCTTTGGATTTTCTTTATGGATGATAGCATAAAGCAGGTGCTGAGAAGTAGGTAAGGAAGCATAGAAGAAGGGAAGTGAATTTTCTTAGTATTTAAGAAATTCTAGAACTTTAAAAAAAGAGAACTTCTTGGAAGCCTTTTAAAAGTTTTACATGCAGCTTACTGTGAGATCTACTGCAGTTAAGAACTGCAATGTAATGACTAATGTGAAAATACATTTAATATGAAATGTGTAAGTAGAACCTACATCAGACTGCATGCTGTCTTGGGGAGGGAGGAGGAAATGGCGGGGGAGAAAATTCAAAACTCAAAATCTTATGGAAGTGAATGTTGAAAACTAAAATAAATAAATTATTAAATAAAAGAACTGCAATGTAAACAACAAAGAAAGTTTGGCTTAAGAATGACAAATCTGGAATAATATGTTGGAAGTTCAGAATTTATTTATCTTTTAGATTGTATATTTATAAACAAACATACTAGCGAATAGCTAGTCTGTAAAACGTACAATATGAATATGCCAGGTGTGGAAACAGAGGCAATGTCCCATCTAAAATATCTTTTATCACCTGCAAATGACCTGTTATCAAATGCTTAGTTTGTTTTTAGATTCTTTAAAAATTAAAGGGCAAATGACCTTGGAAGTGCTGATGGGTTTAGGACCATTTCGTTATTTATGCTGCTATGCACTGTCAGACATCTTTAAAAGAAGAACATCTCCTGTCC